AACGAAAGAACTAAGATCCAGCAAGATTCAATCTCAGAGCTGGTGCAAACTGAGGCAGTTGGTTAGGGAGAGTATGTCATTCTCAGTGAAGGAGCGCCCTCTAGTGTCCATAGTGACCTTGGCACCACTGAAGAATTTAGAAATAGCACACAATCCCAGTAACCAGATGAGACTCAACTTGCTACCTTTCCTTGATTGTAGCCAAATTTTCCCTCCAACACATAGATAGTTTCAAATAAGGAAACGCAGTTAATCGTGAGGCGAATTTGTGAATTTCCAGGAATTATGAGCATAGGTCTGAGTCTGAAGCCTGAAGGGGTGCAGATATCACCCATAGGCCAACCTATGCTCTGGAATATTCTTAATAGGTGCAGGTGTCATGCACACGTGTGCATTTTATTTTTCTTTACAGTGTAATTTTTAACATATTTTTTAGATAATTGAGTTATACTTATTTCAAAAAGCTTGGAAAACATAAATCTCTGGCTTTGAAGAAGTAACGGAATCTGGAATTACTCGTCCACCATAAGCAACTAGAAGTTGGACACAATATATTAAAGAACTAGACAAGAGGCAACACACATGGCATCATAGATAAGGAAAGAAATGAGGTAATCCTAGACCTTGGAGCAGGGAGGAGCGACTCAAGCAGAGCAAAGAAGTTTCTCTGAGTTGAAGAATTACAGACCAAAGTTCAAGGAGGCTGAAGTAGCTAAAATGTGTAGGACAGGCTATCAGAGATGAGGCCACTGCATGGAGAAAAAACTCCAGAAATCTGACGTGGGCTCTCCTTGGGTCTTTACTGAGTGCTAGGATAAGCAAAGAACAACTGGAAAGTTTTAACAGAACTATGCTCAGAGTTCACACAAGACTGGCAAGCATTCAAGTTCTGACCCACAGGAGTAAAGAATCCTCAGTGATTATCTAGGTCATTCAATGGAGACCCCAGAGGGATCATACGTTAGTAATAGATCTGAGGCATCCCTGGAGTAAAGGCTACTCTGCACCTCCTCTAGGAAAGCTTAAAAACAAAACGTAAAGAGATGGAACAGAGCGACAAGTAATTTGCTTCTCTGTCAAAACAAAGTCCCACCGTTTTGAAAGAAGAAAATAAAATCACTCAGCGATGTAACATTTACAATGTCCAGAATCCAATCAAAAAATCATCAGATACACCAAGAAGCGATAAAATGTGAACCAAATGGAACTTTCAGTGCAGAAAAATATAGTATCGGAAATGAAAAATTCACTGTATAGGAGTAACACTAATTAGACATTACAGAAGAAAAGATCAGTAAACTTCCAAACATAACAATTAAATATATATGAGATAAAGTACAGAGAGGAAAAAAGACTGAAAATAATAAACAGAATCTCAGTGATCTAGGGGACTCAGAAGGGGGTGCAGAAAAAATATTCAAATAAATAATGCCCAAACTTTTTCAAAATGTATTGTAAGCTATAAACTCACAGATCAAAAGCTCAACAAACTCCAAGACAACTAAACACATAGAAAAACACAACAAGGCACATCAAAATTAAAATGTTGAAAAATAATAAATCTGGAGGCATCACACTCTGACCTCAAAATACACTAAAAAGCTATAGTAACAAAAACTGCATAGTACTGGCATAAAAACAGACACATAGACCAATAGAACAGAATCCAGAAACAAATTCATATACTTACATTCAACTGATTTTCAACAAAGATGCCAAGAGCATTCAATAAGAAAATGATGTCTCTTCAATAAATGGTGCTGAGAAAACTGGCTATCCATATACAGAAAAATGAAACTAGTCCCCTATATTTCATTATATAAAATATTAAATAAAAATAGATTGAACACTTAAATGTAATTCTTAAAACTATGAAACTACCAGAAGAAAACTTTGGAGAAATACTTCAGGACACTGGTCTGGGCAAAGATTTTGGGTGGTAAGACCTCAAAAACACGGGCAACAAAAACAAAAATAAACAAATGGAACTTAGTTAAACTAAAATCTTCAGGACAGCAAATGAAATAATCAACAGAGTAGAGACAACCTGTTGAATGGGATAAAATATTTGCAAAATATCCATCTGATATGAGACTAATAATGTCCAGAAAATACAAGAAACTCAACAGGAGAAAAAACAAGTAATTCCATTAAAACTGGGCAAATGACATGAATAGATATTTCTCAGACGAAGACACACAAATGGACAACAGATATATGACAAATGCTCAACAGGGGAGGGACGGTGGGGGGTGGGAAGCTGGGGAGAGATAGCAAGGGGAGAAATGCCAGATGTAGGTGATGGGGAGGAAGGCAGCAAATCACACTGCCACGTGTGTTCCTATGCAACAATTTTGCATGTTCTTCACATGTACCCCAAAACCTAAAATGCAATAAAAAAAAAGAAAGAAAAATGCTCAACATCACTAATTATCATAGAAATGCAAATCAAAACCATCATGAGATATCATCTTACCCCATTCATAATGGCTACTATTAAAAAGACAAAAAATAACAGACATGGGAGAGAATGTGGAAAAAGGGGAACTCATACATTGTTACTGGGAATGTAAACTAAAACAGCCACTATGGAAAACATTATGAAGGTTTCTCAAAAAATGAAAAATAGAATTACCATTTGATCCAGCAATCCCACTACTGGGTATTAACCCAAAGGAAAAGAAATTAATATAACAAAGGGATTGCAGCACTATTCACAAGAGCAAAGATACACGGAATCAACCACGAATGGATAAATCAATAAAGAAAATGTGGTACATATACGCAATGGAATACTATTTGACCATAAAAAGGATGAAATCCTGTCCTTTGTAGCATCATAGATGGAACTGGAGGTCATTATCTTAAGTGAAATAATCCAGGCACAATAAGACAAATATCACGTCTGGGAACTGAATTTGATCATATAGAGAATGGAAAGAGATAACAGACACCAGTAAGGGTGAGTAGGGGAAGAAGGGAGGATAAAGAAAAGTAGGTTAAAGAGTAAATTCATACAGTAAGATGGAATAAATTCAATGGTTGATAGCAGTGTAGGGTGACTGATATGGTTTGGCTGTGTCCCCACCCAAAATCTCACATTGAATTTTAATCCCCACGTGTCAAGGAGGAACCAGGTGGAGGATTAATTAGATCATGGAGGCAGTTTCCCCCATGCTGTTCTCATGATCGTGAGTGAGTCTCACGGATCTGACGGTTTTATAAGTGTCTGGCATTTCCCCTGCTTGCACTCACTCCATCCTGCCACCCTGTGAAGAAGGTGCCTGATTCTCCTTTCTCTTCTGTCATGATTGCAATTTTCCGGAGGCTTCCCCGGCCATGCTGAAGTGTGAGTCAATTAAACCCCTTTTCTAAAATATAAATTACCCAGTGTTGGGTATTTCTTCATAGCAGTGTGAGAACAGACTAATCCAGTGACAATACTTCACAAAAATCCTGCACCCTAAATTACACCCTAAGTACCCTGACCTGATCACTACACATTATATACATGTAACAAAATTTCACATTTACAGCATGAATTTATTTTAAAATAAGAAATCAAATTGCTGAAAACCACTGACAAAGAGAAAAATATGTCTATTTAAATTCAGAGGAGAGAAACACACTTTATTTGTATAGCAAAGTTAACTCAATTTGGAACTTCAAGCTAAATGTGAAAGCTAAAACTATAAAACTTCTAGAATAAAATATCAAAAATCATTATGATGATTGTGTTGGCATAGACTATTTTTAGATAGAAAACAAAAAACACAAATCATCCAAACAAAAGTGCAGTGGACTTTGTTAACATTTTAAAACTTCTGTTTTTTAAAGTTTCCATCAAGCAGGGTTAGCCACAGAATGGTACTAAACATTTGTAATACACATATCTAACAAAGAACTAGATGATATAAAGAACCCTTGTAACTCAATAAAAATAAGATAAATAACAGTTTTTAAATGAGGGAGATATTTGAACAGACACTCACCAAAATATGCATGCAAATTTCCAATTCACACATGAAAAGCTGATCAACATAGTCATCAAATAAATGTAAATAAAAGCCTCAAGATGCCATTACCCACCTACTAGAAAAGCTAATTTTTTTAAGTTTATAATATCAGGTATTAGCAAGAATTTAGAGCAACTTGCATCTTTCATGCATTGCTGTTGGGAAAGCAAAACCATGCAAACACATCAAAAGCTAAATGTACAGTTGCCATGCTACTGAGCATTTCCACTTTTAGCTGCTTACTTGAGACATGGAAACATATGTCCACACAAAGGCTCTTACATCAATATTCATAGCAGCTTAGCCATAAGAGCCAAAAACTAGAAACAACCCAGTGTCACCAATGGAAGAATAGAGAAAAATGAATGGAATCCTACTCAGCCATATGTAGGAATTAACTATAGATAAATATAAAAACATGAATGAATCCCAGAAATCTTATGCTGAGTTGGGGGAAAAAAACCTTACACAAAAATTACTTATTGTATGACTACAATTATTTGAAATTTTAGAAAAGGATAAAACTAGTATATGCTCGGAAAAAAAATTAGAGTGCTGAGTCAAATGGTAATTCGATTTTTAATTCTTTAAGAAATCTTCAAACTGATTTCCAGAGTGGTTGAACTAATTTGCATTCCCACCAACAGTGTGTGTTAGCTTTTGTCTGCATCCTTGCCAACATCTGTTATTTTTTAATTTTTTTAATAGTAGCTATTCTGACTGGTATGAGATGGTATCTCACTGTGGTTTTGATTTCCACTTCTCTGATTAGTGATGTTGAGCATTTTTTAATGTTTGTTGCATGCGTATATGTTTTCTTTTGTGAGGTGTCTATTCATTTCCTTTGCCCACTTTTTAATGAGGTTTTTTTAAAATTAATTTGTTTAAGTTTCTTATAGACTCTGGATATTAGCCTTTTGTCAGATGCATAGTTTGCACATACTTTATCTCATTCTGTAGGTTGCCTATTTACTCCCTTGATAGTTTCTTTTGCTGAGCAAAAGCTCTTTACTTTAATTCGGTCCTAATTGTCTATTTTTGTTTTTGTTGCATTTGCTTTTGAGGACTTAGTCATAAATTAGTTGCCTCTGAAATTACTAAGCTACCTTTGTTAAGCCTCTAAAAATTGAAAGAGCACACTGTCCATTTAAAATTTGATTGATTTCGCTTACCTCTCATGATCTAGAGAGCTATAAGAGCTTTAAGTTTCCTGGCCAAAAAAAAAAAAAAATTAAATTAAAGATTTAATTTTGTAAGTTCTGAACAAAAATAATAAAGGTGTTTATCTCCAAGTAAATCCAATTCAATTAATAACTCGAGTTGGTTTCAGATCTTTTCCTTCAGGTATTGAGGAAAAATCATGACATGAGTACAAAGTTTTTATGTTCAGGAAAGATTGGCCTTGTGCTTAAGGAAATTATATTGACTGGGATTTCTCTCAGACTACTTTAGTTGCATTTACCATTATTAAAATTAAATGACATTCACTTGTATTAAGCAGTCATAATAAAAATGTGAGGCTTTCTAGTGATATTTGGTCCCAAGCCTTTTATCACCATCAGACCTTCATATATGTGCTTGAAAACAAAATCAAGTGTTTCAGTGCTTTGAAGATTCTAGTGGTGAAAATTACTGAATCAGTTGTCAGTACTGTATCTAGAAACCCATTATGGAAATGTGTGGTGATACTCTTTAAAAAGAGCTGAAAAGAAAATATTCTGTGCCTGTTCTTACTTTGTCCCTGGTTTGTTGGATAATATTTGAGTGAAAGGAACTTATAGTCACACTGAATTCCAAAACTCATACTTGCATTTACCATTTTTTAAATGATGAAGAGAAAAATTAGTTGTCTTACTTAGATATGTTTGCCATAGGACTTATAACATTTCTGATGCTTTTGGTTACAGTTCTGTCACTAAAATGTTACCAGTTAGACATGTGCAAGGAGTTTTTTTTTTTTTTTTTTGAGACAGAGTCTCACCCTGTCACCCAGGCTGGAGTGCAGTGGGGTGATGTCGGCTCACTGCAACCTCTGCCTCCCAGACTGAAGCGATTCTCCTGCCTCCGCCTCCGAAGTAGCTGAGATTACAGACATGCACCACCACCAAGCCTGGCTCATTGTTCTATTTTTTTAGTAGAGACAGGGTTTTGCCATGTTGGCCAGACTGGTCTTAAACTCCTAACCTCAAGTGATCCATCTGCCTCAGCCTCCCAAAGTGCTGGAATTACATGCATGAGCCACTTGTGCCCAGACAATATAATATTTTTTAGTAACTTTGTGCATGAAACAAGGTTTGTGTATATACAACAATCGGAAAGCAAAGGTGTCACTATCTCAGCCATCCATGTGGACAATCCGTGGTTGTTTGTCATCCATTATTCCTCACTCTGAATTTATATGCTACCAATAAGCAATCACTTTCTTACACTTATTGGTACACAAGTACTTAACAGTAAAAAATATGATGTATCATTCACACAGTGAAAACATAATGTGTTCAGGTAACTAAGCAGCACAGTAGCACCACTAGAATACCTATGTCAGCTGTTCAACAACAGCAACAAGATATGATACCACATTTTCAATCGCCACCTATGATGCTGTGTTTCCATTAAAATGGGTACTGTACTATATATTTTATTTCTTAGGTGAGAAGAAACATCACAAGCAGTGGAGAAACCAGGAAGTAGGTCCTCTAGGGATGAGGAGACATTCTGCTGGATGACTTTTTTTTTCTTTTTTTTTTTTATTGCATTTTAGGTTTTGGGGTACATGTGAAGAACCTGCAAGATTGTTGCATAGGTATACATGTGGCAGTGTGATTTGCTGCCTTCCTCCCCATCACCTATATCTCTCATTTCTCCCCGTGCCATCCCCCCAACCCCTACCCCAACTGTCCCTCCCCTATTTTCCCCCAACACACCCCAGTGTGTAGTGCTCCCCTCCCTGTGTCCATGTGTTCTCATTGTTCAACACCCACCTATGAGTGAGAACATGTGGTGTTTGATTTTCTGCTCTTGTGTCAGTTTGCTGAGAATGATGGTTTCCAGGTTCATCCATGTCCCTACAAAGGACACGAACTCATCGTTTTTTATGGCTGCATAGTATTCCATGGTGTATCTGTGCCACATTTTCCCTGTCCAGTCTGTCATCGATGGACATTTGGGTTGGTTCCAGGTCTTTGCTATTGTAAACAGTGCTGCAATGAACATTTGTGTGCATGTGTCCTTATAGTAGAATGATTTATAATCCTTTGGATATATACCCAGTAATGGGATTGCTGGGTCAAATGGAATTTCTATTTCTAGGTCCTTGAGGAATCGCCACACTGTCTTCCACAACAGTTGAACTAATTTATACTCCCACCAACAGTGTAAAAGTGTTCCTATTTCTCCACATCCTCTCCAGCATCTGTTGTCTCCAGATTTTTTAATGATTGCCATTCTAACTGGCGTAAGATGGTATCTCAATGTAGTTTTGATTTGCATTTCTCTAATGACCAGTGATGATGAGCATTTTTTCATATGTTTGTTGGCCTCACGTATGTCTTCTTTTGTAAAGTGTCTGTTCATATCCTTTGCCCACTTTTGAATGGGCTTGTTTGGTTTTTTTTCTTGTAAATCTGTTTTAGTTCTTTGTAGAGTCTGGATATCAGCCCTTTGTCAGATGGGTAGATTGCAAAAATTTTTTCCCATTCTGTTGGTTGCCGATTCACTCTAATGACTGTTTCTTTTGCTGTGCAGAAGCTGTGGAGTTTGATTAGGTCCCATTTGTCTATTTTGGCTTTTGGTGCCAATGCGTTTGGTGTTTTGGTCATGAAGTCCTTGCCTACACCTATGTCCTGAATGGTTTTGCCTAGATTTTCTTCTAGGGTTTTTATGGTGTTAGGTCTTATGTTTAGGTCTTTAATCCATCTGGAGTTAATTTTAGTGTAAGGTGTCAGGAAGGGGTCCAGTTTCTGCTTTCTGCACATGGCTAGCCAGTTTTCCCAACACCATTTATTATAGTACTGAAGTTCTAGCCAGAGCAATCAGGCAAGAAAGAGAAATAAAGGGTATTCAAATAGGAAAGGAGGAAGTCAAATTGTCTCTATTGGCAGATGATATGATTGTATATCTAGAAGACCCCATCGTCTCAGCCCAAATTCTCCTGAAACTGATAAGCAACTTCAGCAAAGTCTCAGGATACAAAATCAATGTGCAAAAATCACAAGCATTCCTATACACCAATAACAGACTTAAAGAGAGCCAAAACAAAAATGAACTGCCATTCACAATTGCTACAAAGAGAATAAAATACCTAGGAATACAATTAACGAGGAACGTAAAGTACGTCTTCAAGGAGAACTACAAACCACTGCTCAACGAAATAAGACAGGACACAAAGAGATGGAGAAACATTCCATGTTCATGGTTAGGAAGAATCAATATCGTGAAAATGGCCATACTGTCCAAAGTAATTTACAGATTCAATGCTATCCCCATCAAGCTACCAATGACCTTCTGCACAGAACTGGAAAAAAACACCTTAAACTTCATATGGAACCAAAAGAGAGCCCGCATAGCGAAGTCAATTCTAAGCAAAAAGAACAAAGCAGGAGGCATCACACTACCGGACTTCAAACTATGCTAAAAGGCTACAGTAATCAAAACATCATGGTACTGGTACCAAAACAGAGATATAGACCAATGGAACAGAACAGAGGCCTCGGAGGCAACACAACATATCTACAACCATCTGATCTTTGATAAACCTGACAAAAACAAGCAATGGGGAAATGATTCCCTGTTTAATAAATGGATGACTTTTTAAAGTGTTTCATCCAGAGTGATTTCTCTCATTAACAACAGTTTTTGTTTTAGAAATCTCTATTTGATTTTATAAAGTGACATGATTTCTTCTCTGTTATGAATGCATACTGTTCTGGTCCTCTAATAAGCCCATCACACATTTCGCCATATCATTTTCACCATATCATCTAAAGGCACTTTTTCTGCAGTGTTAATCATGTCATCTTCATTACTATGATCATATCACCTTTATTCAGAACCATGTTGACTCTTCCACCACTGATTAATGAATGAAAAAGTGGAGCCTCATTATCTAAATCAAAATTCTTTGACATCCACTTCTTACAGACAGACTTTGCAGGTATATTTTTTGTGTATGTAAGGAGGTCAGGCATTTTTTTTTTCTCACTTGACATATAAAATTCTTGAGTCACCACCTTGTTCATCCTTATGGAGCATAATCACAGGCCAGAGGTTGTGCCATGCATGTACAACTGTGTCCTTAGTCACTGTTTTCCAAGCATTAGTAACAGCATATATACAGTATCATTTATGCTAAACTCCTTTTGAATACCTTCCACATCCATACCTTTCTTCAGTGCTGCTAGCATGCTCTTCAATAAAGTTTTTTTTAATATTTACCCTTCAGTAATCTAAGAATATCCCAGTCACATGGCTGAGTTAATAGAGTCACATTTGGGGGAAGTACATGGTATAAACATTATTTTTTATGAGAATTTCAGCTGAGGAATGAGAAAAACAGTTGTCAAGGAATAAGTAAATCCTGCAAAACCCAGTCCAGGTTTCCTGAAGTGAGCACAAGCCGCTGGTACAAATTGTGAAACCAATCAGAAAAGACGTCGCTGATGATCCATGCTTTTTTGTTAGCATAATAATGGACTTAAAAGAAATTCACTCCTTGAAAACGAGAAAAATGCAAGCTTTTGCCTACCACAGTAAACTTACACTTATGTGTGCCTGTGGCATTAGCCCATTCTAGCACAGTTATTCTATTCTTGGCATCTTTAATTTCTGTAGGGGCTGTCTCCTCCGCTGTAGCCAGTCTATTTCTGGGGCAGCAGTTTGATGTGCTGCATGCAGTAACTACTAGACACCAAATCACAATATTTTAATTTGTGGCATGTTAAAGAGAATGATAGAACTTTCCGCAGTATTAGTAAACTGAGGCACTAATTTCTAAATGTTCTTGTTTTATGTCTCTAAATGTTTCATTAAACATTGGCTCCTGTTTTTAGCATAAATGCATATACTATACTTGATAATTTATAC